TCCTTCCCTCCCTCCCTCCCTCCCTTCCTCTCCCTGCTTCTTTGCAAAGCATCTTTGTTCCTACTCATATCCAAATAGGAAATTTACAGCTTTGTCAAATCTGATTTTCTTTTCTCTCATAGACAGTTTTTCTTCCACGATAAGATGGTCGGCTTAAATCAGAAGATGACACGAGCTTGAAAAGGAAACTAGATAAACTAGAATCAAGAAATAAGTGAAAAGAATGGTTCATGTATTTTTAATAGATACAAAACAAAGCGTTTCAAATAGTACAATGAGTTTAGTGTATTTCCGGTCAAAATAAAATTTAACGCCAATAAGAATTCCCTAGCTACGTTTGTTGAGAACAAGCGTATTATTGAGCTATAGAACTGGCAGATTGATCATTCATCGCATATTAAATATTATTTTGAAGGCGATTAATATAATTGAATGAAATAAAAATAAAAATAAATGTTGAATATTAAATTGTTTATTTATTGATTAGTTATAAATAATAATGGATATGTCTTGTATGTATTATCGAGTCGCATAAATGCATTTCTAAGGTGTTTATTTAGGATATATGGCGATGGAGATATAGAGATTCATTAGTTAAGCTTGAGTACAATTTCATCTGTCTGGGCTCGCAAAGCATGCTTCCCGTTATCGAAAAAAGATTCAATCCCATCAACCACCGCATGCTCAATTCACTTGAGTCKGAGCGGCCATCTTGAAAAGAAGCTTAGTATGATCGACTTTCTCTCCTATTAGGAAACTTTTCTTGTTGAAACCACAAGACAAGTTTTAAAGCCTCCTAGGGGTTACCGAGGACCTTAGAGCAGCAGAAGATGGGGAGTTGATAGTTAAATCTTAATCAAAGACCATCAAGAAATCGAGAAAGCAGTTTTTGACATCTTCACGGTCCAGCCGTTTAAACGTTCACTCTTTGAAAATAAGATGAAAAATAACCTAACTGATGAAGGTAAATTTGTTTTTTTCTGAACACAATATTTTTAAGAGTGYATGTTTTGTCTGGGATTGATCATTTTTCGAAAATACGATTCACAATTCGGATTGTCTAATCGTTTATCCTCAATCACTGCCTGGTAAAAATAGATCAATTTATTTTACAATTAGCCATAGTACACTCTCTTACAACTGTTACTCTGCAGGATCTTTATTCTGCATCCTTTTTGTCTATTTGTCGACGAAACTTTGCTCGTCTTCTTCAGGTCTTGTGTTGATGCTACTAGTACAATGTCTATTGTTTTCTGTTGTTTCATTAGTGGTGTTTAGCACTAAATTCTTGGGGTAGAGTACAAACACNAATTTGTTTCACAATTGTCGACTTTTGTACCAAAAAGTAATTTAGCGTATTTCGATAACCGTCATGTTGACCACATTCTAAACATCACTGCCACCCTCTAAGTACTTTTTAAATTACACTATGACTGACCAATTAGATATTTTGGTTGCCAGTAAGCTGTAAAAATTATTCAAAGTCGCAGGTTTTTGAAGCACGAATACTGCTATACCGTCCGCCATTTTGTTTTTGGGATTTTCGCGCATGCGCACGCGTTTTTAAGCCGTGTCTACAAACACTAAAAGTGTGAAACACTTTGCACTATTTAGCAGTAAAAGTGCTAATTAACAATAGAAAACAATAGGATTAGCATAATTTAGCAGTATTTAGTGGTATTTATGTTACACACTTATAGTGTTTGTACTCTACATGCTTGATAGAGTGATTATATTTAACCCGTGAAAAAATAGTACGCATAATAGTTAGTAGTAGACTCTAAACCAATTGTTTTCTTTTGTTTCTTTATCAACTAGTACTAACTAAATTATCATTTTGGTTTCGAGGGTTAAATTCGATCACTTTACTTAGCTTGAAATTATTRTATTCAAATGTTAATAATCAGTCAGCACAAAAGAAAATATACCGCTAAAACTTGCAGACAAAGTTTAGGAAAATTTCATATTGTTGTTTCATACCTATCCGTTTCTTATGGTATTCACATTACCCATAGTGCAATTCGGGCTTGGCATGCAACATGCAACAAGGCGTTCAGCAACCTTTTTWAAAATATATGTACATCGCTTACATCGCCGTTGCATGTTGTCCTTTCCTTTTGCCAATGCAGCTTAAATGTTGTTTTTCTTAATATCCACGGATACTCTGTTTAGCCTCAAAGATTCTGTTTCGTCATTGGCTGAGCGGTGAATTCCGTCATCAACACTTTTAGTAATGCTGTACGATTGTCGATGGTTTAACCCAAGATTCATCTTACCCACTGATTTGAAATAACTYTGGTTATCACTTAGTGTCACGATACCTATACTATTTGTGAGATTAGAAGCGAATCTATCAGAGCGGTTCGGTTCCTTGGAACATTTGAGTATCAACCAAAATGCCGAGCGGAACTCGCGCATGCGCATCACGTAGATAAAGAAATTAAGGCCAGAATTGCTAAACCGAAGAAACATCATTAAAAAAAAAAAAAAGAAAATTCATGTTAAGAAAATTGCACTTTTCACAGATTAACAAAAAATTCTCAAAACACTGAAATGGCAGCCATGTCACAAGTGAAGCAAGCGTGACAATAAAGAGCGTGACAGCAAGTTTTCGGCTACGTGATGCATGATTCTGATTCTGATCGCTTAGATTAGCTTGCCGGCTTTTGATCCATATAGCGATATATGCAATGATAATGGTTAATAGCGCAAGTGCTAAGATAATGGGATATGATCTGAAATAGACTTGGGCAACGTTCAGCAATGGTGGAATGTTTAGGTAAGCGACAAGGTAGACAGTGCATACCGCGATAGATATCATCCAGGGAAACGAGCAAAGTGCAATGTAGGATTTATACCGAAGCATACGATGACTGAAAGGAAAACCARTGGCGTAGAAACGCTCTATGGCAATGGTAGACATGATTAAAATGGACGTCATTCCTGTCACGATATCTGAAAATTCAAGAGTGATTACATATGTGCATGCGTTGAACTGACGTCGTGTTAGGAACATATGCATCGAAGYAAGAGTAACGAATCCAACCAACAGATCTGCTACAGAGAGGTTGATAATAATAATAATAGCTTTATTAAAACTTTGACTTGCAATTTAAAAGAGGTAATAAAATTGAAAAACCCAAGCTACTTATATATATACATATATATACAGTATAAAGGAGTCAATGTCTATATTAGTCCCATTTCTTCACGGAATATGGTATGAAGCTGTCATTGAAACGTTTTGTTTTACACTTCATTAGTGGAAGTCGTCGGGATTCTCTCGTGTTGTATTTTATCTGCCTTGGTATTGGAAGGAGGTCGGCCAATTTACTACTTTCATGATTTTTTTAAAGTAGAAATCTTTGCACAATATTTCGCGCCTTTCGGATAACAGTATTAAGTTAAGTTCTTTTAGTCTCTACGATGACGTTCAGATAGCTGGAACTTCTGCGCAGGGACTGGGAAAGAGGRGTATGGTGTGGYATGATTTACATTGGTGTATCGTAATCTTCAAGCTTGTCGAGGGCGATTTCATACTTTGAAGATGAGAAACCATTTTCAGGATAAGCTKGTAGTATCTCACGMTCATTGCTGCCTTGCGTTTCTTCAATGTGTCCTTGATTGCTCAGTGTCTCTGTATTCTTTTCATTGGGCTTTCCAAAGGTGTTTCCACGTTCACCGTTGAATTTCTTAGGCTTGTTATTGGCTTGTGAGAACACTGTTATCTTGTTATTGTAGATRGTGTTGCTGATCTGGTTGTCGATAACATTGGTTTCTTGGTTGAAAGAGTTTTGTTCTTTGCCTTGTAAATCATCGAATTCAGTGGTTTGAACTATGGTGCTTCGAGTTACTCGAGTATTCTCATCGGTCGTAAATGCTTGGTTGGTCTTCTGCATAGTGTCATTTGGTCGTTTCATAGTGCATCTCTTTCTTCTACAAAAGAT